AATTTTATAGATCTAAATATTTTTTGGTTCAAAAAATATTTAGGGGTTTAATCGCTCAAAATATGAATATTCATTGGGTTTTTTTCCGGATTTTTTTTCACTATTTTACGACTTTAACTAGTTGTACAAGTCATAAGAATGTATCCAACATGTTTTATAAAAGTTCAATAAGTTATTTAACATGTTTTAGATTGTTCAAGGACTTATTTGTTCCAAAAATTGTCCAAGAAGTTATTTAACATTTTTTGGAATGTTCAAGGACTTATTTGTTCCAAAAATTGTCCAATGACTTATTTAACATATTTTGGAATGTCGAATGACTTATTTGTTTCAAAAAATTGTCCAAGGACTTATTTAACATGTTTTGGAATGTCCAAGGACTTATTTGTTCCAAAAAAAGTCTAAGGACTTATTTGTTCCAAAAAAAGTCTAAGGACTTAATTATTCCAAACAAGAAAGTCCATTGGTTTTTATTGTACTTTTCCCTTTAAGATTTTCCAGCGGATTTCCGGCGGAAAAATAATAATTTTTTTAAATAATAATTCCCACGGAAAAATGTTTAGGAAATTCCTTTTTTAAAATTTAAAAAAAATCTTGTAACGATTTCCGGCGGAAAAATAATAAAAAAATTTAAAAAATAAAGAAAATATCATTTTTAAAAATTAAAAATTAAATATTTTAACTGTATTAGGCATTAACGTATTGGATCATTTTTAATAATAAAAAATGGATCATATTGGGCTTTAACGGACCGTATTGGGACTTAATGAATCGTATTAGACATTAATGAATCGTATTGGGCTTTAATGGATGGTATTGGGCTTTAATGGATGGTATTGGGCTTTAATGGACAATATTGGGCTTTAACGGACCGTATTGGATATTAATGGATCGTATTGGACTTTAGTGGATCTTATTGTTCATTAATGAATCGTATTGGGCTATAAAGGACCGTATTGGGCTTTAAGGGATCGTATTGGGCTTTAACGGACCGTATTGGGCTTTAACGAACCGTATTGGGCTTTAACGGACCGTATTGGACATTAATGGATCGTATTGGGCTGTAATGGATCGTATTGGGCTTTGACAGACCGTATTGGGCTTTAACGGACCGTATTGGGCTTTAACGAACCGTATTGGGCTTTAACGGACCGTATTGGACATTAATGGATCGTATTGGGGTTTAATGGATCGTATTGGGCTTTAACGGACCGTATTGGGCCTTAATGGATCGTATTGGACATTAATGAATCGTATTGGGTTTTAACGGACCGTATTGGGTCTTAATGGATCGTATTGGACATTAATGAATCGTATNATGGATCGTATTGGACATTAATGAATCGTATTGGGTTTTAACGGACCGTATTGGGTCTTAATGGATCGTATTGGACATTAATGAATCGTATTGGGCTTTAATGGACCGTATTGGGCTTTAATGGATCGTATTGTGCTTTAACGGACCGTATTTGTTTTAATGGACTGCATTGGTCTTTAACGGACCATATTGGACATCCACCGATCGTATTTACTTTAATGAACCGTATTGGGCCTTAATGGATCATATTGTTCATTAATGAATCGTATTGGGCTTTAATTGACCGTATTGGGCTTTAATATGTCGTATTAGGCTTTAATGGATCGTATTGGGCTTTAACGGACCGTATTTGCTTTAATGGATCGTATTGGGCTTTAACGGACCGTATTGGACATTAATGGATCGTATTGGGCTTTAATGGATCGTATTGGGCTTTAACGGACGGTATTGGGCTTTAATGGATCGTATTGGACATTAATGAATCGTATTGGGCTTTAATGGATTGTATTGGCTTTAACGGACCGTATTAGCTTTAATGGACCGTATTGGGTCTTAATTGATCGTATTTGCTTTAATGGACCGTATTGGGTCTTAATGGATCGTATTTGCTTTAATGGACCGTTTTGGGCCTTAATGGATCGTATTGGACATTAATGGATCGTATTTGCTTTAATGGACCGTATTGGGCCTTATGGATCGTATTGGACATTAATGGATCGTCTTTGCTTTAATGGACCGTATTGGGTCTTAATAGATCGTATTTGACATTAATGAATCGTATTGGGCTTTAACGGACCGTATTTGCTTTAACGGGCCGTATTGGGCTTTAACGGACCGTATTGGATATTAATTGATCATATTTGCTTTAATGGACCGTATTGAGCCTTAATGGATCTATTGTTCATTAATGAATCGTATTGGGCTTTAATGGATCGTATTGGGCTTTAACGGACCGTATTTTCTTTAATGGACCGTATTGGGCCTTAATGGATCGTATTGGACATTAATGAATCCTATTGGGCTTTAAAGGACCGTATTGGGCTTTAATGGATCGTATTGGGCTTTAACGGACCGTATTTGCTTTAGTGGATCGTATTGGGCTTTAACGGACCATATTGGACATTAATGGATCGTATTTGCTTTAATGGATCGTATTGGGCTTTTATGGACCGTATTTGCTTTAACGGACCATATTGGGCTTTAACGGACCGTATTGGGCTTTAACGGACCGTATTGGGCTTTAACGGACCGTATTTGCTTTAATGGATCGTATTGAGCTTTAACAGATCGTATTGGACATTGGCGGATCGTATTTGGCTTTAGTGGTAATAACAATCAG